ATAAAAATTCAAAAAAATCTATAACGAACGGTTCCACAGGTTTGCTCATCACTGATGTGAAGGTGAAACTATAATCATTGTGCTATCAATGATGGAATCATGAAATTCGGAGCACATATTCTCCATCCAAAAAATAATAATTCGTTGACTGTGATACATGAAGCCATCTCGTGATCCTTCATTATATCATCCTCCTCAGATCCAAGGTCCAGGGTAAATATATTTATTTAGCAAACCTACTTTTTCATTGAAGACTGGGTCCAAATAACACCATATGGTTGGACAAAAAAATTTTATATTTTTTCTGCAAAAAAAATTAGTTATCTCATATGATACGTTAGGTCTGAAGGTATACAAAAACTGCAGATCTATAAAAATATGTTATTGATGAAGAAGCGTCAAACAATTTCTGTCAACGGTATAACAAAGATAAATATTGCATGCGTTAAATTTGGCAAACGTTGAATTACCATATTTCTGAAATCGATATTTTGATCTGGATTTTTGTTGTAGTTCCGTAAATACTGGTAGGTGAATGTTACCAATGGTCCTGACTCTTCTATCTGGAACAGGTTGTACCCCCCTTCGTTTCATTGGTGCCCAGCAAACATGATTTTTGCGGCCCTCTAAAGGTACAATGAAACTTGCCGGCGAGCGGTAACAGCGGTCCTCTATTGTACAACTAAATTGGGCCGGCTAGCCCGTGTCCCGGCGGCCGACAGCCGACCGCCCCTCTAGAGCCATCAGTATGCCGCTTATTACATTGCAGGGCTTCTGGTGGGCAGAAGCAAGTACTCAAATGTACCGCATTCATGGCATATCTTCGGCCCGATTGAGACTTTTCAGAGACTGCCATTAATTGGCCGCTTGAGAATTTTTATTCCCCCGATAGGGGAGTTTTTCAGGGCCGTTGGTTAACGGGGTTGAATGAATTCGATATTCATGGTATTCTGTTTTTTGATGTCCTATTTTTCAACTAGGTTTGTCAAAAAATATACAGGGTAATGCATATATCTCAGTGAAAATAAGTTTTTCGAAAGGTATCCCAGTTTATATCACCACTTGGAAAGCAAAGTATCTTATTTTCACTCAGATCTTCATCACTCTCTTTATTTTCAAACTGGTTGAAAAATGTGGAACTTCAAAAAACAGAATTGAGGTCTCCCAGTTTTTTGTGAATCCTCTCTGGGTATAACAGAAATGTGGAATTCACTCCTTACCTGAAGTTGTTGAATAATTACATAAAAATCTCTGAGGTAGCATCCTGATATCACAGTTATTTCCAGGAAACTAGCAGTATAAATACTCCATACAAAAATAAGAACTGAAAATATTCATGTGTGTATATTATTGCCATGGTCTCAAACAATACATATCACAACTATGGAAACATCAAACATCTTAATTTTAGTTCTACATATCACTCTGTATACTCATCATGAAAAGGTACCTACAATTTACAATAATAGGTATTTGTGTTTCATCATGCAGGATAGATATTTGTTTCTCCACTTGTTTCAAAAAGTTGCTAACTCTAGGTCAAAAATTACATCACCTATGTACCTATACCTAATAACTTGAAAGTTATGTATGTAGGTAATCAGTTATTATATTGATCAAGTTATTGTCAACAATAGGGTTCAATCCACAAGAAAACAATTCCCAGATATGGAGAACCTCACTCTTTATCATATTGATATAAGTGTTGCCTGGAAGTGAGATATCATATACCATGAAGAAATTTATATCATATCATAGTCTGGATCATTGTGTGATTTCTTCATTAATATCTGTGATTGATGGGCTTCTGGTTGTTGATTTTGTAGCTGAAAGATTGAATGATTTCATTCTCTACTAATCCAAAACATGCAACATTATACATACCTACAGTAATTCTTGAAATATAACTGTTTCTTCAAGTAGGTATACTCTTTGATTTTCGTTTTGAAAATAGATTTATGATTCATATGTAATGAAAGCTCATGCATCTTCTAAGTCCTCATATTATTATATTATTAGATTCTTGTGTATCCGCTAAACATGTCCAAACTATTATTGCATCTGTTTGTCCAATGGTGTTTGTAAAATTATTATCTAAAATAGGGGAATTATTTAGCTGTGCAAGTTTGTATATATGTTTGTTCCTCACTCACTCTGTAATATCCTTCCATTTCGTATGAAAATCCACTAGAAAACCAAACACGAACTGAACACAGTAATAAAATCTCTGTTGAGAGTGTTGAAACAACGTAAACAAAGAAATTAATATACGCCATACTGAATCATTGTTACCACTGCAAAATGATCGAAATAAAAACTCATGCGAGCGAGGGATGCCAACGTTGAGAGAGTGATGACGGCACACTCCGTTGAAATTTTGATGGCCCTTAGACTTGGATACATACAGCGGAAGACTAGCGGCTGGGAAACAGAGGCCCATCATAAGTATGTGTACATTCTGCCTCCGTCATATAATCCTTCGAAATTATATGGAGGGCCTTTCGAGGCATGCCGGCATCGACATTTGCCCGCCGTTCTCGCCATGGGCCCGGCTTTCTACCGCCTTTCGATGTTTGCTGGGTGGTGTCTCTTCTTCATCACATTCACTTTGCTCCAAATGTACTTCACTTTGTTCAGTAGGTTTTCTAGTTGAAATCAGATAGTGCGCAACGGATAATTCGAAATCAAGATAGTCCTAAGTGTCTTTTCTTCTCAAGCCTACTGTACTGGCATTTTGACGATATTAGAGCCAACATGCAGCTACTGCGAAATCAAAAAAGTGGTAGATTGCACGTATTGTCAATTTTTTGATACGTCCACGCATTGCATATTGTCCAACACCTCCCATTTTACCATTGTAATCGGCTACAATTGCTGGTTGTTTGATTGAAATGTACTTATTTTCAGTTTTAAAACATCAGGTACAAATACCTTATGGTTCAATGCCAGAGGAAGAGGAAGCAAAATGCACTGGCCCAGAATTGAACCATCTCGTTAAAATAATCTTTCCATCTTCTCTAACTAATCCATCATTGAACCACGACCTTTCAATTTTTTCAATTGATTAGTATATAAAGATGCTGCGTTTTTTGTAATCCTAGAAGCCATAATTGTACCAGCTAGAGTCATTCGTCTTGAGGAGAGTAACTCGATCAACGAAATTGAGGTAAGATATCAGTCAGTGTAGACTGAATCTCCTATTGGCAGGGTCTCTGTGAGTTTTAGTGCCATTCTACCACCTACATCAAGTTTTTCGGGTATTTTCAGCAAGCACGAGTACACAGACAATACCTTTGCTTCGTAATGGGACCCCTTTTGGCGTTGTCATGACGAAATTCTTCAATCCTACAGGATTGGGTTTGCCTCTAACAAATTGACGCATTTTAACTTGCCCATGAAATGGTATCATCTGTTCATCTATTGATGATGATGATGATATCGAGTTCTTTTATTATTGCGGCATCCTTTTTGCACCGCGTCTAACATTGGCCTTATTTTCCAAAACTTGTCTAAGTTCCATTCTTCTTCAGAAATTTTCTGATTCTCCACAAGTTTAAGGCGCGATCGGAGTTGGAAATAGCGATTTCTGGATATATTGCCTGAAATAATTGGTACTCTTGTGTTTCGCGCCCAATACATCCGGATCCTTGGTAGACCATAAATTCCAATCAACATGGAAGCTTCAAGAAATGTTCGCATTCCATATTCGGATGTTTCAAGGAAACGACCTTCATCAACAACTTCGCGCATGTTTGTGAAAAGGGCAACTTCTTCGAAAAATTCATCCAAAATATATTCATTTGGGAAGGCAATTGGTTGTTCTAACTCAGTGTCTATGTTTTCTTCTCGAATATTGGATTTACTCGGTTCAAACTGGCGAGTTCATGACCATTTTTTCTGGTAACCTGGTAGATAGTGTGCAAGAGGCTCCTCATCCGATGAATCGCTCATGTTGTCTGCGATCTCTATATCATCTGGATTGCGGAATATTGGTAATATTTCAAACAGAACCCATATTTTCCATATGTTCTGTAGAACAAGTTCAACGAAAATATATCAATAAAACACAAAAAAAATTATTACTTACTTTTATTTTGCGGTAGAGGCATAATCCCATCACATGCACTCGCAAACATCAACAATCGACTGATTTTCCTTGTCGCCGTACGCAACCAACATCGCATCAAAAAATCAGGCGCATATTCAGCAGGGTATTATATATGATACCATCGAGTACCGGAGGCTTAATGAAGCTGGAGACCGAGAATGTATTATAAACCTGAGGTATCATTCATGATACCTGGGGTATATACAAGATTTTTGATGTCGTGAGTTATGTAAGGTCGAAAACACAACACCTATTTCCTATATAGCGTTTCGGGAGAATTCCGATCTACATGATTTTTTTGTAGAGGTCGACGAAGAAACTGAAAATGATGACTTTCAGGGTGATGTTTGAAAATGTGAGAATTTGAATTGAGGACAATTAGATAAAGCGAAATGAGTTTTCTTCAAATCATTTTGGATTCATGAGGATTTATAAAGAATGTTATGATGTATTGAATATTTCACAATAAATTGCATACCGCATGTTACCAGCAATATAACCGTTCATCACAAAAGCAACACCACTTTCCAATGCCTCAAACTATCAACCCTTCGATCCTTCTTCCAGTTTGTATCCATCCTTTTTACCGTTCATCACAAAAGCAACACCACTTTCCAATGCCTCAAACTATTAACCTGTCGCTCCTTCTTCCAGTTTCTATCCATCCTTTCTACCTTCCTTTCTCCATTTCTTCATTTCTCTCTCCCATTCATTTTTGTTTCCTGCCTTCCTTCGTTCATTCGTTCCTTCCTATCTCGAAATGAGAAAAAAAATGTATTACTAATTTTTTTCGAAAGTTCAATCCGTGTCATAATCATATAGTGAAGTAACTATCAAATTTCGCTGTGTTTCCATATTCATCACTATTCGAATTTCTTCACTTTCAATTTAGCACAGCAAACGGCAATATTCGCATCCGTCTTGGCGAATGGGACGTACGGGACCAAGATGAAAAACTCGCCTATGAGGAATACTCCGTAGAAAGGAAAGAGGTTCATCCCGCCTATTCCCCTTCCGACTTCAAGAACGACGTCGCCTTGGTAAAATTAGATAGAAATGTCAGGTTCAAGCAGCACATCATTCCCGTCTGCCTTCCATCTCCAACGGTGAGTAAACAATTTTTATGATGATAATTCCACACTCACAGTAAGTATTCAGGAAAGTTGTCACTCTTGATCTTATGATTGGATGTACCGAGAAGCTGGAATAATAAGCTAAGTATGATTTTTCTGCAATCGACTCAAAATTGCTTCATCTTTACTCCGAAATATTCTCTTGGAGTTGGCGTTCCTCTTACTGACATAATAAGATAAATAGTTTGTATGTTGCTAGACAACAGTTTCTATAGGCTGAGGTTGAACTTCGATTCTTTGGAACTGAAAGTGTGCCGGATGACAGCTGATATGATAATAATAATGATAATAATGATGTCATCGGAGGCCTCAGAGTCGTGAGTGGAATAATATGAATTGAATTGATATTGATAATAATAATAATGATGATAATAATGTTTATTCACCTGAATTATAATACATCAGGTATATATGTATATTTTTTTCAAAGAATTCTGTGAAAAAACGGAGAGACCACAAAAACTTCAGCTTGTTCGTGGTATATATAGGGATATCATGAATCCGAGAAATAAGTTAAAATGAACGTATCGATTAAAATACTGGACAAAGATGCAAGACGAGAGGTACATAGAATTATTTTGAAAATAACACAGTAAAATTGATGAACATGGATCAAAGTTACAATAAGATATATAAAATTGAAAATCCAACATCAAATTACGGAGCTTATTATACAGGGTGTCCCTGAAAAGTTTGTACAAACCCCTAGCATATATTCCTGAAGTCATAATGAGCCGATTTGAAGCAACTCACCTCAGTCCGAAATCGCTCCGTTTTCAAGATACAGTGTGGTGAAATTGAAAAATGAAATTCGATTTTTTCAAAATTCATTGACGTTTTTTCACGAATAACAGTCTGGGGTTTTTTGAGATACCTGAATACAGACATATTTTCACTGTGGCCATTAATGGGCGCTTACTAATTCACTTCTCATGGTTAAGAATGGTCATAACTTTTTTCTCAGTGTAGTATTTAACTATTTAACTTTTTTGTTGCGGAAGTGATTTTATGAACGCTTTTAAGCAAAAAAGATACTCCTGTGGAAATCTGTTGATGTTCAAGCCATTTTCGAGATATTTCGGTTTTTAATGTTCGATGAATCATCGGAATATTGAAATTATTTGAAAAAAAAAAGGTTACTGTTATCTTCGGGGATGTAATTTGGTCAGTGAATGAGCAGTATTGGATGATTTTTTTTCAAACATTCAAAAATCCTCGTATTTGTTACCTGTTCGATACTATTGGAATGTAAACATTCCGCTTATTTTAAGAATTCTCACTATCAGTTAATTTTCAGCAGGTTATAGTTACAGGAAGTTTTGTAGGAAGAATTTGGGAAGGTATGGATTCTTTTCGAATTGAATTAGGAACATTTCTATTTTGAAAGTGAATTCAATCATCATGAACTTTGAGTAATTGTTCAAAATGACCTCCGTTATCATGAGTGCAAAGATTTATACGACGTGAAAAGTTCCATTGTACTCTTCGTATCAATTCCTCATCGTTTTTCAATATGTCCACTGAACTCTCCCACAACTCTTCTACATTATTATTCGGTGTGGAGTATACCATAGTTTTCAAAGACTTTTATAAAAAATAATCCAACGGAGTCATATTCGGTGAGCGTGGCGGCCAGTTTACAGGAACGTCATTTCCTCTACCGATCCTTCTGTTTGGATAGTTTTGATGTAAAAAATTTCGGACGGCTGAAGGAAAATATGATGGAGCACCATCATGCATAAACAACATATCTTGTCGAAGTTGTAATGGCACATCTTCTAATAACCCTGGCAGCGTATTTCGTAGATGTTCTGAATAATCCACACCATTTAGTCGTGTCGGTAAAACGACAGGACCAATAATAAAATTGCCAATGATTCCTGCCCACACATTTATTCTGAACTCATGTGATGATGGGTTACTTTCGTGACATGCGGATTTTCATCAGCATAGACATATTCGTTAAGTAAGTTAGTTACACCACTTCTTGTAAAACATGCTTCGTCTGTTAATTGCCGGAGGCAAAAGGTCTTGTACTTTCTGGATGTGGTATGGATAAAGCTGCTGTTTTTTCAATGTTCTATGAACTACATTTTTGGATACTCCTACCTCTAAACCTAAACGTCTGGTGCTCAATTTTGGATTTTCAGCGACTCTTTCCAGAATTTGTTCCTCAACCTCAGGAGTCCTTATCGCTCGTTGCCGTCCATAATTGACAGTTGAAGAAGTGGAACTTCCACTTCCGCGAAGGCGTCTCTCAATAGCAGCGAATGTTTGATGATTTGGTATGCGCCGATTTGAATATCTTTCCCTGTAAGGGTACATTCAAAGTTTTCACGTCTGATTAATCTTCACAATCATGTTAACGAAGGTCATTTCAAACAATCAAGTATTTAAATTTTATGATAATTGAATTCACTTTCAAAATAACATAGTTTCCCAATTGATTAAAAAAAGAATCCATACTCAAATTCTTTCAGCAAAACTCACTGTAACTAACCCGAGTGAAGAATTCCTTCCTGCTGAAATTCAACTGATAGGTAAAATTCTTAAGATACGCAAAATGTTAACATTTGCATAGTCTGATGTTGCAAAAAACATTCTTAAACCTGTTCACCGACCATAAGAAGTGCATTAATAAGCGCCCATACTAATGTCCACAGTGAAAAGGGTTCCGCATCTCAAAAAACCCCAAACTGACAATTTTCAGAGTTATCCGTGGAGAAACCTCCATGAATTTCAAAAAAATCGAATTTTATTTTTCAACTGCACCACACTGTACCTCGGAAACAGGAGTAAGTGCTTCAAATCGGCTTATCATGACCTCAGGAAATGTGCTAGGAGTTTGTACAGAGCTCTCAGGGACACCATGTATATTGATCAACAGTGCGAATAGGTAAGAGAGAACGAGTGTGAGAAACAGTAAAACAATTAGATAAATAAGTTTGGTGAAAGTATAACAATGAAATATATAATTTATTCTAATATCCATATTACATTTTGAGACAATAAATAAAAAGTTAGTAATTGAATAAATGAATTATTTTTTTTATCATTTGGAGCGCACGGAAGAAAATCCCTATAATGTTCTAAGAACATCGTGCGTTCTTAGGAATGATAGGGACAGGAGGTAGGTATTTTGGAATGTTTTTGAACTTCTGGAGATTATATGTTGTTGGGAATACTTCCTCAGGCAATGAATTCCAGAGCATAGCCGTTCAATTGATGAAGGAGTTTTGATAAAGTGCTGTTCGCCATCTTTCGAGGTTGATCAAAAAAGGATGTGCTGACTGGGCTTGTCTAGTTGGTCTGACTGGTATTGCTAGTGAAGGGATGATAGCAGAGATTTCCGAAAAATATTTCCCGTGGAAGTATCGATGAAAAAATTGAAGGTCACCCACCAGGCAGATGGCTCTTCTCTGGATGGAATCTAACAGCATCATCGTATGTTTTGGTGCTGAACCCCATATGTGGGAACGATATTCTAGAACATGCCGTATCTGCGCTTTGTAGATCATGACGAGCTGTTGAGGTGTAAAGTAGCTTTTCGCACGGAACAAGAATCCGAGTTTTTGTGAAGCAGCTTTTGCGATGGATCTGACATGATTATCCCATGAAAGAGTGTTGCTGATGGAAATACCTAGCATAGATATGGTGGGCTTGGTGAAGATGGTGGTGTCAGACATTACAATATAGGGCATACTAAGTTCCGCCTTCCTAGAGAAAATACAGGCTTGAGTTTTGGTGGCGTTCAACAAGTTCAACTAGGTTGTTGGTTCCCCAGGCTGCGATTTCAGCAAGGTATTCATTGACAGCATTGACCTGCCTGCGCCGTGAGTTCTTAGTTTCCTAGGCGTAGTGATTCTTATGCGACGAGTTATATTAATAGTTATTAATTATTTTGTGAAAGAACTGACGCTTTTTTTCCAGTATCCATTTATTTGTTACACTTTTTAAGTCAATATAGGTTCTACTATCTCTGATATTGGTCGGTAACTCATTATAGAGTTTGCTGCTCGAGTAAACACATTTTCGTTGCCCAATGGATTTTTTCACATTTTATTGAACAATATGATCCTTATTTTTTGCCTTGTTTCATGGGCATGAGTTAGTATATCAAGTAGTATTTTTTTCTTGAAAACATTCGGAGATATTCAAGCTGGATAATTCTTCAAATCTATTTTCCTAGAATATTTAGATTTTTGAGATGCACGTCATTTACTCCTCTCCATCCCAAACTTCTGTAAAAGAGAATAAGAGACTGAACTAAAAAATAGTAGATCATTTTGAGCTGGGGTATGTCCAAGAATCTTTCCAGATACCTGTATCTTGATAACAGTCCTCTGATTTTCCCTACGCTGTAATTTATTTCATGGTCTCACTGGAAACGTCTGTCGATTACGATTTCTAAGTATTTTATAGACTCGGCTCCAGAAATTTCAGTAACATCATCAATTTCAAGCTTTACAATTTTGGTAAATGATTTGCATATGACACAAAAGGAAAATACTCAGTTTTTTCTAAATTCAAGGTCAGTTTGTCCAATTGGAACCACTTTCTCATCACTTTCATTTTCCTCTCTGCTATTATTTTCAGTTCAACCCATTTTTCTGTCCTGTATATTATGACAGTGTCATCTGCGGAACTGATGGCTTTCCCTTCTTTTGTCATTGATGATGAACTGTTCGAATATACTGTGAATAGTAGGGGACTTAACACAGTTCCTTGTGGTACACCGTAGGTAACAATACGAGTATCGCTGACAACATCATCTATGGTCACCTGTTGTTCACGTTCAGGGAGATAACTCTTCATGAGATTATATACATTGCACCCCATTCCATATAATTTGAGTTTTCTTAGCAACCTTTCATGACAAACAGTATCGAATACTTTTGAAAGGTCGACGAAGATGCAGAGTGTAGGTATTTATTCATGGAATGCTTTATATATCTGAGCAACAAGATATTGTA